AGAGTGTACAGCTGCTGGCGTATGATTCGCGCCGTAGATTCTGCTTTCTCCAGACTGGACAAGGAAGCAAAACGAATGGGTCTGGCAGTGAACGAGGGCAAGACGAAATATCTCCTGTCATCAAACAAACAGTCGTCGCACTCGCGACTTGGCACTCAGGTCACTGTTGACAGTCATAACATTGACGTCGTAGATAATTTCGTCTATCTTGGAACCAGCGTAAACAMMACCAACAATGTCAGCCTAGAAATCCAACGCAGGATAACTCTTGCCAACAGGTGCTACTTCGGACTGAGTAGGCAATTGAGAAGCAAAGTCCTCTCTCGACAAACAAAAACCAAACACTATAAGTCACTCATAATTCCYGTCCTGCTATATGGTGCAGAGGCTTGGACGATGTCAACAACGGATGAGTCGACGTTGCGAGTTTTCGAGAGAAAAGTTCTGCGAAAGATTTGTGGACCTCTGCGCGTTGGCCACAGCGAATATAGCATTCGATGGAACGAAGAGCTTAATGAGATATACGACGAGGTTGACATAGTTCAGCGAATTAAAAGACAGCGGCTAGACGAAAACACTCCAGCTCTGAAAGTATTCGGCGCAGTACCCGCCGGATGAAGCAGAGGAAGAGGAAGACCTGCACTCCGTTGGAAGGACCAAGTGGAGAAGGACCTGGCTTCACTTGGAATATCTAATTGGCGCCATGTAGCGAAAAGAAGAAACGACTGGCGCGCTGTTGTTAACTCGGCTATAATCGCGCAAGAGGTGACTGCGCCAATCAAGAAGAAGAAACTATCGAATTATGAAAACAATTAGATTTTTTAAAATTTCTAGGCAAGTAGACCGATTTTACACAGCAATATGCTCCACAGAATGTTATCATATATCCAACTCTTTTCCATGACAGTATAAAAATCTCTCTCCCGCTCTACCAAAATTTCATCAGCCATAAAGAGGAAAGTTTGTTTAATAATTTTCTAAAGAAAGATAAGTAGAAATGAGTTCACAAATTGGATTATAGGCATTATGTCGCCATCTTTTACATGAATTGTGTTTCTGGTAAACTACTGACCCGATTTGAATCAAATTTTGTTTATAAAATTTTCAATGTATAAATATTTTACAATCTGTAAATATTTATTTAATTAATAGAAATTTCAGCATTACGTACTTACTGATTATTTCCAACTACTTATGGGTCTTGGTTACTTCTCATTCTTCTTTATTGGATTTCACAATCTTTAATTTTTCAAATGCAAAAATTGTATATTTTATTATTGTAATTCATGTATGCTTGTATGTATACAAATATGTTTATTTAATTAAAATATAATGATTTGCTTAAGAAATAAATAAATTTAACAGTTTTACAAAATATTATACTATTATTACTTTTTAATATTTGTTCGTTTGGTATGTTTGTATGTGTGTAAGTAACATATGTACTTGTCTAGCTGTGCAGTGAAGTACAAAAAACATAAAAAAGTATTTATAAATACATATGTAAATATGCTGCTAATGTGTAATAAATAATTAAAGAAAAAATACTTGTGTCGCAAATTGTGCGTTGAAGATAACAAAAATCACCAAAATGTGTATATAGTTTAATAATTCTAAAACTATTCGAATATATTTCGCATAGATTGATTTTTCATATATATTATAATTTACAAAATAATTGTTTATTTAAATTGGATTTGCGTAAAAAAGTGATTTTGAGATTTTTAAAATAATTTACAATTTGTTGGAAGAGCAAACAATTCGAGTTTTATGGCATATGTGTTGTTGTAGATGCATTTTGGTTACAACAAAAACCTTGAAATCGTAATAATTTATTTACGAAATTTTAACCACTAGCTTGTTTTTAGTTGATGTCACAACCATAGCACTATTTTTATATTATATTTTAAGTAATTTTCGGCGAATTTCTGACTTACAAATTTTTGGAATAAATATTGTTTTTTGATACTTTTTACATTAGACTTTACTTGTTATTACTGTAGGTTATGTAATTTAATAGATTTGTTAGAATTTTAAAACACGCTCGAATAAATCTGCTAAAACGTCAATAATAATTAAATTATATT